GCTAAAACACAATTAAACGAAATTTATGGAATTTTGCTTCGCTTGAAGTGAACAATTTCAGCAATAATTTAACAATTTGAATCAGTGCGTGTATACCGCATAAATTCCGTTTTACAGTAATGCGCATATCGCATGAATTGCAAATTCGGAACTCAAAATTTTCAAATTTATAGCCAAATTAAAACCATCATATTATTTCTTCCACTAATAACATTACAGTTATGTACTAATTATTTACTGTTGAATTTTAAACTTTTTTTTCTTTGGGACAAACAAAATATGTATATACAGTGGAACCTCGCTTAACGAGCAAAAAGAAGAATTTTTTTTCGCTTAACGATTTTTAAAACTTGTGTGCACATATGTGTATTTTTGAATATGTTTCAATGTGGTTCAAATGTATATTTTTTTTATTAATTTATTGTCTAACCACTAACAGGATAAAGGAGACAATTTCAATTTAATTATTTCGCCATTTCCTTTCTTTCCTTACCTTTCTAAGTTATATAAAATAAGTTTAATTTAGTATATTGTGTGTCTTTTTTTTATGTTATGTAAACATTTCAAGCAATAAAGATATTTTTTTTGGATTTTTATTATACTTTTAATTGATTTATCATAATTATGTAAATCAATTAAATTTGTAAATATTTCCATGAAGTTATTAATTAGTAGTATGAATTTTTCATTTAAATATAATATAAATTTAATATATTGTTATAGGTCATGAAAAAACAATCTGTTGTATTATTTGCATAGAAGACTAATGAATGTATGCATATTATGACAGTATTATCTGATTCGGAATCGTGGTTACAAACACCTGATCAATCATTCATATTTTTTCGTCTGAAGAGTCAGGATAATCGAGTCAAGCAATGAAACTTTCATTGAATTTCTCTCTCTATCTCTCGCCTAAAAATAACTATATAACAGTCACGGTCAGCAAAGCTGAGGGTCTTGAATTAAATTTTAATTAAGTTGCTTTCGAAACGGGACTCATTTCACGAATTATTCGTAATTTCGGTAGGAATCATCTATTCTTTTTATTCTTCTCCTTCATCATTTCTTCGTCCTTGTTGCTCGTCTGCCATGGGCCTCGGCGGAGTGTGAAGTGAGTTTCGGTGCCGAACTTCATCTGTACCCAATGGACCTCTTCTTTTTGCGAGGTGAAATTAGGTGATCGCAATTAAAGCCGCGTGGGGAACCTTACGAATTCCCACAACCACAGAGGAAAAAAGAAACGGAGACAAAACAATGCAGCAGACAAAAGCGATTTTCAAACTCGAATTCCGTATAACCTTTATGTAAGCGATTGTGCGATTAGTGTAACAGATAAAGCAATACTTATTATGGTGCTATTTCACATTATATATATATATTCTATTTATTTATTTTTTTTATATAATTTCGCTAGAATGGAGAATGTAGTCTATTGCGGGCGCGTGGAGGTCGCGTATCATGTAATGTCCACACGAAAATATCCTGATTTATATGTGTAGCAAGTTTTTTTTTTCACTTCTTTCCTCGTTCGCGGTTTACAGTGTTTGGCATTGGGCGCGCCCAAAAATGGAAGAGGTGATTGAGGATAGTTACCCTGTATCATGGATCCGCCATCCTCTGGTTGGCTCCAATGTAAACGCACGCTCTTCGCCGTCGTGAACTGCACCTCCAGGTTCGGAGCACTAGGAGGCATCATGACGAACATCGAGTAGGTGATCTCGTCTTCTCCAAACAAATTCTTCGCCGAACAGGAGTAATTTCCGGCCAACGATTGGTCAACACCTAAAAACCAAATCAAAATACACCAATCCAATTGGTCGAAAACATCGAAATCTTTAACATGCATTACCTAAAAACAAAACTAAAGTACCTGGAATAAAAGCATGCAAAGTAAATCTATTGCGTTCTTTATTTTTTAACCACGGATTGTGCAAGTGGATGATGACCTTCGCGCCGGAAACACCGGAGAAATACTAAGTGAATGATATTTCGTGCAATTCCGTTACCAAATGATACAAATCTCAGTGCAGTCGCACGCGAGGCCCTAACAACAAGTAATGAGAGGTTTGTCAACCTGCGTGACCCGTCCGAAATAAGAAACGTGCATCAAATCGAAGGATCCGAAAGCGAAATGTCGACATACACATTTATTTTTTTACTTTCATAAACGCTTCTGGGCCGCATACGAAAACCATAAAGAAATGCAGTAATACACTTTTAATTGTTTCAATATTCTCACTTCGATATCCTTGCGGATAAAGTCTCGAATGCAAAATAAACGAACGGCAAGGTCGGTCAGTTCGTTACTTCTTTTTGTTTTTAATTTTGTTGTTTGTTTCATTTCAGATTTCCTTCACGTCCAACGCTCCGGGATTTCGTGAATTCCGACGTCAAAAACTGTATCACCATTAGTTATAGCGATTTTATTCAGAAATCCTTCGCGTCGTAATTAATTTTTATTTATCACCCGTTTTTCGAATGCAAATCTCTTCGCAAACTACAATAAAAAAAACACATACATATACAGAATTCCGCCTATTCGAAAATACCTGTATGCGGCATTTTTAGTTTTTGGAGCAGAACTCATACCGTGCGAACGGTATGTATAATTAATGCGCGCTGCAATTCGGAATACAAATTCGATGTTTCGACAAAGGACGAAAGCAGGGTTTCGAAGAAATTCCACGATCGAAACACTATTAGCAAATGATGGAATTCGCGTGTTCCGCGAACGAAATATATCTTGTCTGTAACTAAATTCGAAGCTGTAATGAACGAACATCAAGCGAAGAGTAATTGTATCTTCCATTTAAGATCACAAAATAAAAGTATAGAATTTTTATAAGACAATCCTATACAAAATAATTTAAGCTCATAAACAAAATTGATTCAATATTAGGATTTTTCATATTTTTTTTTACTTTAATACTTAGATTTTTTTTAAATCTTATATATATGAAGTAATTCGTTAAGTGAAAATTCATAAAAAGAAACTATTAAAATTCCATTGAAATATTATTATAAAGAATTTGTAATAAAAGTCACGATCTGAGACAATTAAAAAACCAGTTGTTCTTGTTATACTTCCACTCTATATTTTAATATTTTGCAATTTGTTTCCTTTCATATATCTTGAGCTATTTTATATAATCAGCCGAATTAAGCGACTGCTAAACGTAAATGCGTAGATTAGATAAGTGAAACAAGTTTGCTGTTACGAGATTCTAATTTCAAACAATTGTTTCAATATGCTTGAAAACAAAAAAAAACACATTCAAGTAATCTTTCTATCCGGTTAGAGCAGAATGCGCAAGAATAAAGCGGAATAAACACAACAGAATTATTTTCTAAAATGTCTCAATACTTCGTCACACGAACAAAAAGAGAGGAACTTTCAAAACAAACAAAAAAAAATCTTGGAAAAACTTAAAATTCTGACTACGTCGTGACGTCCATTGCCAAGCGCTGAAAATAATTGAGATTTAAAAAAAAAAATAATAATGTTGAAATTTGTGAAATCCGCTTAAACTAATTATATTGCATAACAAATTAATGTATTTCATTGATTTCTTGTGTTTCGATAATTTGTTGTTATTTGTATTTGGTGTAAATCAGATGTAATAAATATTGATATTATAATTTTTGGAGATATTCAAAAGTCATGTTACTTAACATGATAGATAAATAACGGTAGAAAGTTCCATCCTTTAATAAATATTTAACATTATTATAAAATTGATGATAAAAAAAACAAGTTAATTAACATTTTCATATCTATTTTCTTTTAAATTTGTGTCTCTTCTACATTTAGATTTTTAATTTGTATAAAAAAAAAAGACATTATAAAATTTGAAAAAAATATTTTGTTTCTAAAATTGTTGTTGTACAATTTTGTATATTTTTGAATATTACAATTTTGCATTGACTCTATTTTTGTATATAAATGTATATGTATATAAAGTAAGTTAAATAGATCATTTATATCCATCTCCAGGTTAATTGTTAGCTCAAGGATTCATTACATATTAGTACAAAATGCATCTGGTAACCTCAGTAAATGTAATTCGATAATGGAAAAAGAAGAAAAAAAATCTATGCCATTACCATTGTTTCTATTTTCGATTTGAATCATGTAATCATGTGTTCTTTATGCGAAAACGGTACGAACGCAGCAAAAATGTTCTCATCGTTCAAATGACGTTACGTCATTTTTTCAAAAGTTTACAGGCGCAAGAATGATTCTGAAACTGTAAACAAAAAAAAAACACACACACACATAAATGAAATAAATACATACAGAAATAATCGTGCTTTCATTCTCTTTTTCCCAGCATAAGCAAGCATTTCGCAACGCAAATAAATTGTAAAATAATAATAACGAGTTTATTCATTCGGTCTCGCCCTTCACTCAGGAAATTCGAAAATCCGTATGATGCAACCGTTGTTAATTGCACAATCCTTATTGTCCGCTTATGCGAACCTAATTATATAATACAGTGGAACCTCGCTTAACGAACACCTCTTTTAACAAACACCCCGCTTAACGAGTAAAGTAAATGACTCCATTAGTTTATATGGAGGAAATTGTTTCAATATACTAGTAAAAACACATTTATGCAAAATGGTCATGGAAAATTTCGATGTGTTATTCCATAAATAACCCTATCGTATTTTGTGATTCAA